GTTATAAAATTTCCCACTTCTCCTCAGAAACTGCAGCGATGTGCAGCAGTTGTATTTGCTATGTGTCATCTGGGCCACTCCTCTCAAGTCTTAACCACAGAGCACCCAGACTTTAAAATATAGTACACAGTTTATGATTACCTAGTAATATATATACAATATCTACATTTGCAAAGGATAATTTTGGAAGTAATTTTATCATATACCCCAACCAGGGTGCTTTTCTAATTTAACCTTCAGAATTTTATTCCCACAGGCATTTTTATTTTAGCTTGCATCTCTATGAAAAGTGAGCAACAGATTAGCAGCCATGGCATATGAAACCATTTCCATCTTAAGTGTTATTTCTGTGTTCGTGACACACTCTAGTCTCACTGGAACTTTGGCAACGAATGCGCATCTTCCAGCATCTGCATGCTTTTTCTTTTCCTCTCACCGCACTCAGCTCAAGCACTTCAGAGCAGCTAGCGGTGCAACCGCACACAATACTGCATTTGTGTTTACATCTGACTCAAATCGCATGCTTGGAAGGGATTTATAAAAGAAAGGAAAGGAGCAAAGAAATCACTGTGAGAAATATTCTTGAATATTTAAAAAATATATCCAATACAGTTTTCTCATATTTCAAAATCACTAAAATTACAAACATAGAGATGTACATGAGTTCAAAAATAATGAAGGCTATACAAAGAAACAAAACAAAAACTAATTCTTCCTCATGCTTTCCATACCAGGGTCATCTAACCAAGTGACTTATGCTTCCAGTTTATAATCTACTTTCGATGTTTGGCTTCATGGTAGCATTTCATACATTGTCAACTCTGATAAGTTCCTTAATGCATAAAAACAAGAAATGAATTATATTCATTCATGGCGATCTCAAGAAGTAGGAGAGCACAAATTGAAGAGACGCTTGTCAAAAATGAAAAACGCTCTTTACAGACACAACCTGAGGAGTTCACAGTCTTACCTGACAAGTCAGGTCAGCCCTACTTAATTCAAGATCAACAGTGTGACTGCTGCATTGCACCAGGGCCACAAGTGCCATTCTGTAACCAGGAAAGAAATGCTTCTAACTTTCAACCCAAACGCAAGGTTTAAGGATCACAGTTATACTAACATAACTGTATGGACGCAAAGTAATAACATAACTACTTTAAATTTTGTGAAATTATTTATAAGCCAAAGCCATCATTTCAGTGTACGTGGTTTGCTTAATATAGTAATTATTTGAATATAACAAACCAATTAATAAATTATTAAAGCCTAAAAACATTGTACTTCTTAATTTATAACTGATGTACTCAAACGTAATATGCTTCCAGATTCTTCACTAAAGGTAGGCATAGGATGACGAGGGTCCACTCACAGGACAAAGGGAAAAAGCAAAGCCTCCAACCAACAACAGATGACTAGCATCCACTTTAGTCTCCCAACCACCTACAGCCCTGTTTACACAAGCGATGGGAACTTACTACCCAGTACAATCCATCCTTAACTGAAACTTCTTTTTACCATACCTATCCATGGACACTTTTAACATTTGAAAATGTGGTTTTCAAGATTCATACTATAAACAACAACAACAATAAAAGGTTTAAAAGTGTGGAGGTGAGTATGCAAAATAAATATACGTAGTCACTGCATTTTCTTGCCCAAGTCTAAAACCAAACTTTTTATAATATAACTGCTTTAATGCAATACCAAAAAGCACCAATTTCAAGACTTTGAAGCTTAAATTTGTAAATAACATTCATATGAACACATTTCTACCTCTTTCTAGTGTCTGCAAACTACAAGACACTTAGGTTGGTTTTAAAGACTCAAAGGGACACAGCAAATTCCCCATCAGCACAGAAGACCGACAAGCTTAGGATGCTGCACCAATAGTTGTTTTTGTTAGCATCCTCTACTGGTGGTTTCCAAAGACAGCAAGAAGAAATGGTGCTAATGATAGAAAGGTATGTGCCTGCTATTCCATCTAAGGTGGATTAGTCAGCAGGCAGTCAGTGGGAGCTAGAGCTCATTTGTCAAGAATAAAATGGGGAACGTCAAATAGAATAGAATTTTGGAAAAGAGAAGATATTTTTAAATACAACAAAGCATTAAATTATAAACAGCAAAAATCAATTCCAGCAATTCTAATGCCATTCCTTTAGATCATTACTATAATGTCCCCACACAAGGTTCGATGATTTAGGCAGGTCTACTCATTTGTTACATATTTGTGAAGTTACAGTTTTTGATGCTGTCATCAGTATCCTAGCTTTCAGACATATTCTAGGAAGGAAATAAAAATGTTTTATTGCTGATTTAACTGTAAAATCTATATACCTTATTTCAAAAATGAATATAAATATAATTTATACATAAATAACATAAAATATCTCTAGTACTATCTCCCACCATATACACCACTAGTCATTTAAATGAATTTTAAGAGTTAACATCTTTCCAGATAATTCTCTCCTAAAGCATCTGCAACTTAAATATGACTGCGTTGCTAAGAAAAATCAACAGCACCTACCCTCAGGTTTCACAACACAAAGCATATAACTTCAATTTTAATTTGCAAAAATAGCAGGCTAAATCAAATAGCATGGCCGCAACAGTCAGCGATGGATGAAAGCATTAGAGAACAAAAAGAAATACAAAGAGAGAGCCAAAAGTGATGAAAATGGAAGATACCTGTGGTAGCACAGCGCTATCTCACACACCTTTTGTTTTCTCCGAGTAATGCATACTGCAGTCAAGACATTTCAGGCTCAAGAGCCCCAAATCTGTTTTTCTAATATTAAACACAAAGGAGAAACACTAACAGCAAGCGTGGTAAATAAATCCCTCCCCTGAGAAGGAAGGCGGCAAACAGGAGGGGGCTGACATACATGCAGGAGAAAACTAAACACCATCTTTTTTCTACCTGCACAAGTTGCCATTTGCTGCAGCGATCAAGAATCTCTTTCCTGTTGATTTCAAGCACCTTTCCGAATAGCTTTCCACCCTTATGTCATCTGTTGATATGCCTTATGTGTGTGATATTAATATCACAGAATCTCTAGGAGAAAAATCCATTCTTTCCTGTTCAGGTAAACATGTTTACAGCAGCTGCACAGACGCTGGGTGGTTCAGACTCACATGTCATACACATGTCGTCAGCAACAAGAAAAGCCCCTTTCTCTGGCGATCAACATTTTAAATAAGGTAAGGGCAGCGAGCAGCCCTTTCATGACCAACTTACCTTTCATAAAGCCACATCAGCAATAGCAGCAACAGCTCAATGTAGAACAGACACTATTTGATGCTAGAAGCAGGAAATTACAATTGCGGTAGCCTGTGCTCAGGTCCTTGCCACAACCAGTAGTCACCTCTCCACAATGACGCTACCCAGCACACCTTTCCCTCCGAACGAACATGCTCCTCTGAAATGCAACTGAACATTGCATTTATCTGAACAACTGAAAATCATTCATGGCAGCAGAGATTTTAATGAGGGTTCAGATATATTCAAAACGTGTTTACAACCAAGAGGAAACCTCTTTGGAACAGCCTAAAATCTTCGTATCTGCTTCTAGACAGGAAATCCCACACAAAATCTAAAATTGCCAGGAAAGGTTACAAAACCTGGCGTTTGGCATACCGGAGGGGAGGGAGCAACACAAACCGGGAGGGGGTGGGGCGCGGGGGGGGGGGCGCGCCAGGGTTGCCACTTAAACAGGATTTCCTAGTTCTCCGGACGCCACATCGATGCCATCAGGGGCGCATTTATTCCCCCCATTCTTAAAAACTCGTCATTTAACACCCCGCGGGAGCCCCACGGAGCCACCGGGTGCGAAAGGCACGAGGAATTCCTTATATAGCAGCGGCCGCAGCAGCACAGGGCTGTGGCCGCCCATCACCACACACAGGTACCCGGGCGGGGGCATCCCCGGCCGCTGCCGCAGGGACTGTCCAGACAATGACCTGGAGCAGACGGCTGTCCGCGCCGCTAGCCGAGAGCACACACTCGCCTAAGAGAAGCACCATCCAGCAACTCCTGCGTCTCCCCACTCTGGGAGAGCCCGCGATGCACCCACCGATACAGGTCGGGGTGCCGCACTCTATCCTGGTGCCTGTGGCTTTCCCTCTTTCTTTAAAAAAAAAAAAAAGCAAAGCAAAACAAAACAAAACAAAAAGACCAGTAACAACAACAAAAAACTCTGCAGTCAGGCCGAGGAGTGTGTTTCCCTGGCACATCCGTGCAAATCAATACCCCGCGCAGCTGTACCGCGAGCCGCAGCCCCGTGCGCCCGTCGGGCCGCCCGACCCCCCCCCCCCCCCCCCAAACTCTGCAGTCAGGCCGAGGAGTGTGTTTCCCTGGCACATCCGTGCAAATCAATACCCCGCGCAGCTGTACCGCGAGCCGCAGCCCCGTGCGCCCGTCGGGCCGCCCGACCCCTCCCCCACCCGCCCCACTCGCGACCCCGAGCGCCAGCCCAACTCCATTATCTGCCCTCGGCTCGCGCGTCCGGCCCAGGTAACAACTTCCCCAAACCGAAAGAGCCAAAGCAAGGCGCATGCACAGAGCCCCGTGCCCGCGGGGACCCGGGCTGCCAGGGCGTCCCGACCTGTCTGTGCTGCTTCCCGGCCGCAAGCCGCAGGCGGCGAGTCCACGCACACGCTCGCCCCACGGCAGCAGCTAGGAGCCGCCCGAGCCTGCTCGGCCCCAGACGGGCACCGCACGCGCGGGGTTCCAGCCCCCCGAGCGCCCGGCCAGCGGCGGCCCCGCGCGTCCCCATCCCCGCCCGCCCGCGAGCGCGCGGGGCGCAACTTTACCGCGGGCTCCCGACCCGACGCGCAGCGCCCGCTCCCGCGCACACGCGCGCACGGCCGACACGCAGCCGACACGCAACCGGCCCGCGGCCGCCCGTCCTCTCCCGCCCGCGCCCGCTCCGCAGCCCGCGCCCGCCCGCCGCAAGTTTGTTCCCCGCCGCCGCGGCCTGCGCGGAGGGAGGATCGCGCGCGGGGAGGCGCCGAGGGGCGGCAAGAGTGGAGAAAGTGCGGAAAGAAGCAACAGCCGCTCCACCCGCGGGCGGAAAAGTGGCCGGGCGCGGCGGCGGGATGCGGCGCAGCTAACGGTCCCCGGCGGCCGCGCGAGCCGCTAGGCGCAGAGGCAGGTAAGACATAACGGTCCAGGACGGCGGCCGCGGCGGCGGCAGCGGGGCGCACTACTTTACTTTCCCACTCCACTCGGCCCGGCCCCGCCGCCGCCCCCGGCCCGCTCGGCCCCGCGCCCCTCGCCCGGCCGCCCGCTGCCCGCCGCCGCGCCGGGCCCCTCCGCCACTCACCGTTATTGCGCCGCGGGTTCGCCTGCTTTCTGCGCTTACACCTGGGGCCATCCGCCATGATCCTCTCGCTTGTGTCTAAATGCTCGAGTCACCTCCTCCCCCTCCTCCCTCCCTCCCTCCCCTTCACCCCCCCACCCGCCGCCTCCACCCCTCCCCCTCCCCACCGCACCTGGTTTACGACACTCGCGGCTTTACGACATCACCTTCCTAACACCTAGCGGCACTCGCTCTACGGCCGGAACCTTGTTGCTAGGGCCGGGCGGTTTGCGGCAGCTTCAGTCGCTGCGGAGTTTGAATCCCGGAGGCGAGGGAAAAGTTTTGCTCAGGTGTAGTGGGGTCACGGAGGAGGGTGCGGGGGCCCTGGGGACGGGGCCCGGAGGCGACAGGGTGGCCTCCCGAACCAGGTGGAGCCGGCGGCATGGGCCACACCCGCGCAGACCCCGCGCGGACGGGTGCGCACTCCTCGGGTCCCGCATGCTCCAGCTGTCGGTGCGGCGGCCCGCGCGTGCTCGCCGGGGACGTGGACAGCAGGGACGCGCAGCGAGCTACCTGGCTAGTTCTGACTCCCTCCCCTCCCACAGAATCGCGGGTTTCCCCGGTCTACCCAGACGGGAAGTGACAGCACTTGGGTTGAACTTCAGCTGGACAGAGAAGGAGGCGAGAAATTCCGCTCTCAGGAAAGCAGCATGAGTAATCCCCGCACCGTGCCAGGCTCACTTCCTCATCTGCGCCTAGCTCACCTGCTGTCACCTTGCCTACCCCACCCTGCAGGGTCCCAGGGTGGCCAGGCTCGTGGGCGTTGCGACTTGCATAAGCAACCCTGAGGAGCAGGCCTGGGGAACCTGTAGTCTGAAACGGCGAGTGTGTGAGGCAGGAGGATGGCTGCGAGTTCAAGGCCAGACTGCGCGACAGTGGGACCCTGCCTCAAAATAACTACAGTCTCACACACATCTGAGCAGTGTAATGACCTCAAGGCTAAAAACAAGGCTGACTAGTGTTCGCTGAGGCCGATTTTTATCTTAAGCTTTTGACTTTATACAAGACCTAAATACTTTTGTACCTGCCTTCAGTAATAAGGATTTAAATTTACCTCTCTCCCCGCTTCCCACCCCTTTCAAAGGAGGAATTGTGTGGGACAACTTTATGAGACAAATGAACTAAGCCGTTTTAGATATGTAGTTATTGTTATTGTATAAAGGTGAGACTTATGGATAGATATAACAAACATCCCATGGAGTATAAGAAATAATTCTCCATCCCCCAAGAGGAAATAATACACTAAACCAGCACAGAGCAAGTACACGAAGGCTGCTTGGTAAGGTTTGCCTACTGATTTTGCCATGCCTTAGGCAGGATATTTTATTGTGTAACTAGTCATGGTGACATACACTAGCAGTCTTTGCTTGTGTGAGGAGGAGGCAGGAAGGTCACGACTCTCAGGCCAGCTACATAGTGAGACCCTGCCCCCCCAAAAGAATCCTCCAACCCCCAAATGTTTAGAGTTATTAAACCGAAGTAAGTGTACAGCCGAAGTCCAATGTTGAAAAGGTGCTGGCTGTAGATGAGCCTCCCCCCACCCGTCTGCTGCATCAGAATAATGGGACTGCACATGTTCTTTGCACATCAGATCTGCAGTCATTGCAAAACTAGACTTTTTGGTCCTTGTGCATACTGGCAGCGCTTCTTTTCCTCAGTACCGTCTTAGCTGGAACACATTTGTGTCAGAATGGCACCCTTGGGTTAGTGGCCTTGGGTCACCTGTAACTCAGCCCTTGAGCTTGGGAGCCCCATTCTTTGGCATCCTGAGTAGCTAGCTGGGATCTCAAGAATGAGCCATGGCCTGGCCTCATTGCTTTCTCAATCAGACACCATAGACGTTTGTCTTTTACCAGAAATTGTCTAGCTTCCACTTTCTACAGTCACCCTTGTTTCCAGCCTTCCCTTAAACTTGGGAGGTGTCATACATCCAGTCCTTTTCCTCTGTTCTTCCTCAGGGTCACAATCATAGGCACAGGAAAACAAACAGCACAAGATACTTTGTTCCTTCAGTGGCTACCGACTCAGTGTGTGGGGCTGTTACAAACTATGGGGACATCAGATGATAAAACTTGCTATTTCTGTGTCCTCAATACTAGCAGAGTACCCAACTGTCTAGTAGCTGTTGAGTAAATATTTCTGAAATAAACTTTCTAAGCCTGTTCTCAATGAAGTGAGGGTATCTGTCTTTATCATGTTCTTAGGAACAGTTGAGGTTGAGTATGAAGCAGTATTGCCATTCATGTCCATGCTAATTTTGATCTTAATCTCTCTCTTACCTTTTTCCTTTTCCCTAAATTTTAACTTCTGCTAAGTTCTATTTTTAAAATATGCACAGGAAATATTGGTAAGCCAAATTTAATACAAAGTTTAACTTTTACAAAAGCCTCTGATAACTTACAAATTAAATGTTTGACTTCTATTTATTGTTCCATAATGTTATTGAAGATATTTAAAATCTATACTAGAAAGAGCAGACAGAAGTCTCAGAATATAAAGTATTGCTTTAAATCTGATTCTTGTCTGATAGTTATATTTTAACCAAAGCACGAGGCAGCGGGGGGGGGGGGGGTCTTTGGAACCAACTTATGAAGGAAGTACCTATTAAGATTTAGATTAAATCCACCTTTTGGGAGATGGAGGAAGGCGAATCAGAAGTTCAAGGTTATTGTAGTTCAAGGTATATAACTGAGTTCCCGGCCTTAATGGGCTATAGGAAACCCTGTCTCAAATTAACAAGAGTTTAGATAAAGGGGGTAAGGAGACATGCTTCATATCTTCTTTGCAGTGACTGACACACACAGAACATGCCTTCAGTATGTGCCTTTGCTCATGTGTTAGTGAAATCTTATTACTTTACTGCTTTGAACTCTAGGATTATATATGTTGAATAAGAAATACTGTAAAAACTTGTATACTGTTACCCAATCTTGAAATGTCAGGCTTATTAAAAAGAAAATAAATAAATTAATAAAAAAATACTATAAAAAGTGAACTACTGTATTTTTAAAATTTATGAGAAAAATTGTAAACGAATGTAATATTTTGAAGTTTGAATTGGGTGCATTTCAGAAGTTCTCTAGACCTTGTCAGATTTCAGTGTCAGGTAGTGTCGTGGGAGGTGTCTGTCAGTCAATACCGTTTCCACATTGCAGCTTTAAAGTGGAGACAGTGAGCTCATGTTGTCTTAGCTAGGGTTTCTATTGCTATGATAAAACACCAAGACCAAAGAGAGCTAGGGTGCTGTCTTCGTTACTGTTTCATCGCTGTTAAGAGACACTATGACCACGGCAGTTTTTAGAAAAGAAAGCATTTAACTGAGGGCTTACTTACAGTTTCAGAGGATTAGACCATGATCATGATGGGTAAATGGACAAGCGTGGTGCTAGAGCAACAGCTGACTCAGGCAGCAGGCAGAGAGGACGAGAAGCTGGGCCTGGCTAGGGTACATTTTCAGTGATACCTCCTCCAACAAGGCAATACCTCCTAATCCTTAAGTAGTTCCACTCCCTGGTGAGTAAACACCAAGTAAGGATTCAGACCACCACGGGGGAGGAGAGGGTTTCTTCAAGCTTGCAGCTCTGAGTAGATGACACTCTACTGAAGGAAACCAGGGCAGAGACCTGGAGGTAGGAACTGTTGGAGAGGCCATGGAGGGTGCTGCTTACTGGATTCTTGTTACGGCTTGCTTAGCCTGCTTTCTTACAGCGCCCAGGACCACCATTGCAGGGGTGACACTGCCCTCAGTGGGCTGGGCCCTCTTGCATCAGTCAATCAAGAAAATGCAATATAAGCCATGCCTGTGGGGGGTGTTTTCTCAGTTGAGCTTCCCTTTTCTCAAATAACTCTAGCTCAGTGTCAAGTTGAAAAAATATAAAGCTGACCACAACATCTGTAGAGGATGCAGGGACCCAGCTGCTTCTCCATAATGGCGCAGGTGAGACTGGATTTGCTGTTCACAATGGGTCAAAGGAAGCTGGTGGTCACCTCACTGGTGCAGTTCAACCAGATTCTGCAGCCAGACCCCAGGGCAATGCTTAACCAGCCCTCCTCGGGACCCATGCCAGCTTTTCTAATCAAACTTCCTTGGAGGTGATGAAGGGACACATGCTTTTCTCATGCCTCCAGGTAATTTTTCTTATGTACTGCATCCACAAAATTTCTCTGAGGCTCCTACTTTTAACAGGTAGGACTGTTAACATAAGTGACATTTTTCAAAACATCAGATATAAAAGCATAAATTTATTTGGGGGAGATATCTGCAGAATATCAGTGATCATCTCCAAAAGCTCCTATAGAAGATATCCTTTATTGATACCAAATGTGAACCCATGCTCAGGTGATTGACACCAGAGAGCCCAGTTTGAATAAATGGTTTTGAGTGGACTGTTGTTAGCACCATATCAAGGGTCTGGCATTGGGTTTGCATTGCTGTCTTTGCCCCTTTGTTTCTGTGTGTTTCTTTGTTTGGCATCTTGACTTCTCTGAGCAGCTGACTGATTTTGTTACCGAGGGCATCTGTTGTTTGGCTTACACTCCTGGCTTTCTATATAACCCATAGTCTCAGTTACAAGCACTGCCAGAATTTACCCCTTGGAGCATATGTAGTTAAAAGTTTAAAAAAATAGTAGCCTGTTTTAAATCTTTGAGCACTATGTTCAGGTCACATGAAAAAGTTTGTGATAGAAAAACCCCATGTTGAGTGACTTCCACAGCTGGAACCCTGGTCTGACCTTGCTCCTCTTCTCACCTCCTTGCTCCTTTTCTTTATCTTAGATAACTGGGCCACACACTGTGCCCCACCCACTGTTTCACTTTTTAATCATTCCCTTCCCGGTCTTTCTTTGTCCCAGGTCTGACATAGTTCTGTTTGGATCCTTTCCCTTTATCTTTTAGGTCAAGGTTTTTAAAAATTGTTCCAACTCTAAGACATCCTGCTTGTTTGCATGATGAGTACTTTTTCCAACTGGTTAAACCCAGTCTCTGCCTGACCCTGCTCTGAGAGACTGGCTCCTTCACCCTCCAAGTCTGTTTGGTTTCAGCCAGTTTGGGAAGCACTGGCAAAAGATCAAAGGAAAGAGAGTCCAGAATATTTACTCCGGCCCTGTGACTGCAGCTTCATCTTCCACTAGGGCCCAGGGCTCCTGACAGATACTTGTGTCTTGTAGCCAAGTTCTAGAAACTGCTTCTCTCCCTTGAACCTTCTGGCCTGAAGATACAGTGATTAGATTCTAGGTCATTCCTCGCCTTAAAAGCTGTCTCCACCTCTGTGAACTCTCCTCGTTAAATTCTCCATCTGCTCCCTGCCAGGACCCTAGGAAGAGGTGATCTGGAATTAGAAACTCTGTCCAACCTTGTCAACCAAGAGTCCCAGTCCCATTGATTCTAAATTAAAATTTGAATGTAGGATAAGTGTGTTATCCTAATGTATGTTTTTATGCAAAATCTAGCAACACTAATTGCTCCATAACTGTAGAATGAAGGCTCTCTCTTTATCTGAAATCTAGGTGAGACAATTTCAAAATAGTAATTTTAATTAGAGTTTATGTGTACTTAAGACAAAGTTCTCAGGGTGTTTAGTAGCACGGTCTGTTTTGTCTTTACTAAATACTACATGGCCATTTACAGTAATGGCTCTACTTCTCCCCTCCCTACAAGGGGGCCTAAGTGCCACCAAAAGTGCTACCACTTTTGACTGTGTGATAGAAACTGAAGTGGTGTGTGCAGCACTGAGGACAGTCTTCAAAGGAAATGGCTCTCATTCTTGCACTTCTCCCTGTTGGTTGAAATCAGACCTGCTATGCCGAGTTCCAAAAAGAAGGCAGAACAGAGCTGAAGGAGCAGGAGTCTTGACACTGAAATACCATAATCAGCCCCAGATTTCCTTTATAGAGAGAAACACCATGGATAAGCCACCATTATGAGAAGGTGTGTTGACCCGCAGCCAGCATCACTCCTGTTTAGTATGGGTATGTTTGCAGTCTCTTGGCTGCTGTGAGAACCTGGTCCACCAGTGAATTAAAACCATGTTCAATAGCTTATCATCCTGGAAGACAGAAGTCCAAGATGGGTGTCACAAGGCTAAATGATTCTTGAGGTTTTGGCATAATTGGGGGTGTCAGAAGACTTTAGGGAAGAACATTTCTTTGCCTTGTTCAGCTCGGAAGGCCACTCGTACTCCTCAGCTGGCCTGCCTCCTTCCCCATCTCCAGACTCAGCACCAGCATCTGCAGTCTTTCTCCAGTGGTCCTCTGTTCTGCTCATCAGCCTACAGGGTAGATGCTTTCCCGATAAACTTAGTCCTGCCTAGACCATTCCATCTGCCTCCACACTTTAAGGTCAGCTGATAATCAAGTTCAGGTCCACCTGTAACCTTATGTCCCCTTTGTCACATAACTAATATAGTCACAGGGTAACTCTGGGAGGCATTTTAATATATGTTTAAAGTTTCATTATTGAGAAAAGTTTTTATTAACTTGTTCATCTTTAACTTTAATTTCTATGCAGCTTCCAGTATTATGCTAATCAGCCATTACTCTTCATGCCACATAGAAATCTTTAATAATTAAGTATTAATTACTTTTTTCAACTTCTGTTCCTGAGAGCATTTTGTGTGATAGACACAGCATGGATCTATAAATATCTAGCACAGTACCTGACTTCAAGAAATTTCAAGAAGCAGATTTGTCAAAAGTGATCACACAAAAATGTCATGGAGGCGTGGTTATACATAGGAGATGGTGACTAAGGGTGAACATGTCTGCGCTGGACATAATGGACGCTGTCAGAAGTCAAGTAGAGCAGAGAGAATTCAAGGTGAAGAATCACAAGATATGAGAAGTCCCAGGATGAAAGCATGGCTCTTCTAGAGATAAACCTGTAGAAGCGCGGATTGACTATAAGGCATTCCCGGTTCCAAATGAGGCTGTGTAGGTGGATGAGTAGGA